GTTGGAAAAATTTTGAAACAGAATCCTACAGATCGAGTAATAAATGTGCTCTTACAATAAATAAATAGTGAATGTACTGCCATTAATTTCCGTGAGATGGAGTATTATAAATGACCAGCAATGGAATAGCAAATCAGCAAAAAAAATGTATATTGAGAGATATCTGCAACCAATATTATGCGACAGTGACCACTCTGGGTAGGGTTGTGGGACAGCATTTATCCGATTTTGAAAGCTAAGGGTCAAGCATATATTGTTTCAGAGGTGAGGGGGACAAACCCAAACTTGAATAATTGTTCAGAGACCAAATATATTCCCCCACATAAAGTAAATCAAAGGGAAGAATGATTCGGCGGATATGAAGAAGATGAGGTGACTTCCACAATTGTGGATGTTGTGGCGCTCACCATTGTTGTTTGCACTTTGCACCTAGCAAGGTGTTGTTGTGTTGGTGCATCATGGCGACTCTTCTTATTTGTGGACGCCACTGTTGAAAAATCTGCCTTAATTATGCCATATTTATTCCTTTTACTACATGAGTATAATAGCAAACCAAATAAATAAATGAAGGATCTGATGAATACTAGTTGCCGCATACTCGCATAGATGTACAAAATATTTAGTGAATCAACAAATAAATGTACTCTCATTGTATACATTTAATGAGTTCCATAATTATTCTGAGAATGAAGATTCATTTCGTACCATAATAATATAGCAAATCCAAAGAGTAAATGTAGTTGGTTTCAGGATCCATATGGTGGGTTTTATTTTGAATGAAAGGTCGGTCAAATTTAGTCTGAGTGCATTTGGATCTTTGTGCTCCTTTGATTCAAAAAAATCGTACTCCCTCCGATCCATATTAATTGACGCATACTTAGTACAACTTTGTACTAAAGTTGTACTAAGTATGAGTCAATTAATTAGGATCATAGGGAGTACTTCCTCCAGTCCTTTTTACTCTGCATATTAAAATTCTCTGAAGTCAAACTTCACAAAGTTTGACCGTATTTATATGAAAAAATATCAACATCTGCCATGCTTAAGTTATACAATATGAAACTTTAAGTCATGACACATCTATTGATATTGATTTCAGATTGTGAATGTTGGTACTTTTTTCTATAAAGTTGGTCAAACTTTACGAGGCTTGACTTCAGTCAAATCTTATATGCGAACTAAAAAGGACCGGAGGGAGTAGTATTTTGTAAGGTTATGTTTAGTTCCATAAGATTTTTTCCTATGCAAACCATTTGATTCATAGGATTTGAATCCTCAATCATAGTTACACGTTTGTTAGGCCATTGGCAAGGCTCCAACTGAACCCCTTGAGTCCAGCCTTTTTATGCCCGGTCGAACACGACACAAATACGTAAAGATACTAAAGTGCCTAGTTTTTCATATACTTTTTCTCTGTTTTTTACTTGTTGTCAGTGCTTGAAGGCCACAAAAATATGTAGAGAGAAGGTTCTGCATCTATTGATCTTTCCTTACCCATTCCGAAATAATGACAGAGGGCGATAAAGGAAGGGGACCAGGCCGTCTTCACTTCTACCGTGCCAACAATCCCATGTCTATGCCATCCCTTTCCTCCATCTCCCTTGATCGCCAAGCAAGTTCGGCGATCATGATCTGCCAAAACGCTGGATGAAGAGTTCGGTAGCCCGCGCCGTGATCATGCTCGGGAGAACATCTTATAGTCAGCAGTAAAACTGGCCAGAGACAAGAACTGGCTAGCTGGAAAAGCTCAAGGGTCGACGAGGCCTGACAGCAAGTTCTCGATTATGATGAAAATCTGAAGGACATGGCTATTTCGACGGCAACCAATAATGTGCTCACCTCACGAGTGTGCCTGCTTCCTCTCAACTAGGAAGGTGTTGAGCCTATAAGTGCAAAGGTTTGTAGCAAACAATAATTTCCCTCAAGTGACCACAACCAATGATCAGTACATGCATACACAAAGACAAAACTCCCTTATGCCCTCAACGGAACTAGTGAGGTTGTCAATCTCACTAGCTTACTAGTTAAAAAAGGATTAAATGCAATGAAACCAGAAAAATTCTTGAATTTGATGGAATGTTGAACATAATGTTGAAACGAGAAACTAAAAGTGTTGATTGAGATTGAAATTTTTTTTGGAAAGAAAATGGACTGGGGTCCACAGGTTCACTAGTGGTCTCTCTTCAAAATAAAGCACGTTGTGGTAAACAAATTATAACTGAACAACGACTAAATTACAATATTTATGACTATGACTATCCATGGCAAAATTATCATATGAGCATCACGTTCCAATATCTATAGAATGTTATCCAACTGCATCTATAGCTAATACATCACCCAAGAGCGCTATCTAGCATTCATCTTAAAGTATTAAGTAAATACAGAGTATTACATTAAAAATGATGACATGAAGTAGATGATGTATTTTCTTCACCCTGTGTTCAAAGGATAACTATGCAACCATCTTTTTATTCCTAGGGGCAACAACACACTGCACACTTCGTCTCACTGCGGTAGCATACATGCAAGGTTGAACCCAAATAGCATACACAACTCCCCTCATTTGTTGCTTCCTTCTCCGGTGGGGTCATAACAACAACAGAGTCCGGTGGGGGGCAATTGTTTGGCAAGTCACATGGGCCTGCAAAGGTCGAATTGTAATTTTTCTTACTCGGCGGTCTTTTGAGAAAAATTTCAAGACGCAAATCTCTCTACCCTTTTGCCGTGTCCACATGTATATTCATTGTGACCTTGTTTGATAAAACATGTGGGACGGTTCATAGGCTCGGAAAGTAGCATTGACTGTGAAGTTTTCTCTTCAAGATTTGAGTGTGGTGGCGGTTTCCCTTCTTCGCCGGTTGCATCATGTTGGCGGCTGGGTCCGATGGTGGGAGGCAGTTTGGCAAGCCACGAGATCTCAAAAGGTCGAATTTAATTTTTTATTCTTTCAGGGTCCTTTGTACAGAATCTTTAAGACATCGATCTCGCATGCTTCCAGTTGCGGTATCCACGTGTGTGCAGCATAACCTTGTCGTTCGTTTAACAAAAACATGTGGCTATCATTTACAGAAATTGTTGTCAATAAATTGCCTTTCATTGGAGTATTGTAATTATAAAAAAAAACTAATCCCTTCACGTGGGAGTTATATGTCAAGCTCAACACATTCAGGGAAATCACCATAGAAGACTACTTGCGTGTATACAAGTATTAATTGTACGTATTGGTATGAGATCGCTTACCACCTACTCGCCAAAAAAAAAAAAAGAGATCGCTTACCACCTTCGCGGAGTGGCCAGCCTTTGCGCGAGCAAACCAGATTAGGGCATTTCTAACCGATCCCTTATAACCGGTTAGAGGAGTAAAAACTCTATTTTACTCCTCTAACCAGTACCTAGCAGATCCCTTATCCGTCGTAAGGGAGTATAATTTTTACTTCGGCCCTAACTTTCTCTCTAAATTTACTCCACCGTGCGGCGGCTGAGTAAAAGGCGTGCCTCTCCTTTGCGTCGCCCCCGCCTTTGCGGCGACCGCCCGCCGCTACCTCATTGCCTTCCCTGCCCCCTGCTGCCCTTCTGCCCGACATCAAGCCCATTCGCCCCCCATCGCCGCCGCCAGAATCATGGTGAAAATGCTGTTGCCGTCACCATTGTTGATTCATCGGATTGCTTCGTTGCTTCTTCTTTTTCTGTCGGCCGCCGCATCTCACCTTGAGTGCACACTGCTGCAAGTCATTCCCTCTCATCGCCGCCGGCCTGTTTGGTCAGAAAGACACCGGTCGGCCGATGCACCACCACCGCACTGCAATTGTTCGTCGAATTGCTTAGGTGAGTTTTTTTTATCGTTTGTTTGTGAACCGAGCCGTTTGGATTGAACCTAGCTGTTTGAATTGTAGATGAAGAGGTTGAGGGAGATGGCCTTGGAGGATTCGTCGTCATCCGAAGAGGAAGAAAACGACGATGACTTTGAAACCGTTTTAGGCATGATTTTCAATGATGATGTTCGGCAGCCGAGGAAAGGATCACAGTTTGGTCATGTACACATCAACCGTGATAGAGCGGAGGGTCATGCCAAGATCATGAGAGACTACTTTGACCCAAAGCCAACCTATCCGGAGAAGTACTTTAGCGGGCGCTTTCGGATGCACACAAGTCTTTTCTAACCATTCCAAAAGCCGTTGAGAGATATGATGACTGATTCAAGCTCCGGAGAAATGAATGTGGAGAGATAAGTGCAAGCTCTCTGATGAAGTGCATTGCAGCTGTTCGAGTCTTGGCATATGGGTGTTCGGCTGACGCAATTGATGACTATGTCCGCATTGCTGAAGACACAATCTTGGAGGTTGTTCGAAGGTTCACTAAAGCAGTGATCGATGTCCTCGACCCGGAGTACTTCAGAGCACCAACCGAGAAAGACACCCAGAGGCTGATGACTGAGGATGAAGCAAGAGAATGGCCAGGGATGCTTGGATCACTTGACTGTATGCTAATATGTAGTTGCAGTTTATATTAGAATTGCAAAGTTTTAAAAAAACGGAAATTTACTCTGTTATATATAGGGGATCGGCTAGGTCCGGCCAAAACTTACTGAAGTAAATATACTTCACTACGAGTTTACTCCACCGGATACTCCACTATTTTTAGGGGATCGATTAGAAATTCCCTAAATACACCAGGTTTATCTGCCGAGTGGTGCCCGGGGAGTGGACGCCGAGAGGGAGGTGCGGTCAGAAATGGGATAGTCATCGTTGCTGTGATGCGTGCTGCTAGCTACTACCGCTCTTAACTGGGTTGTCTGTCATGTGGGCGCTGCCTTATCATGAAGGCTAAACTTAGCCAATTGCTCATAGCCCAAGACAGGAGTAGATCTTCTCGCAAAAAGAAAAAGAAGAACTTGAGGGAAGAGGTGTTTCGCTGCATTATCAGTTTATCACCATAACATGTCCAGACACAACCGTTTATTTATTGACAGCAACATGCATAGAAAAACGAGCCAAGAATTATTCCGATCGCTTGGAGGCAAGCAGATCCATGAGGTCGGCGGTGACACCACAGCGCTCTCTCATCTGGCGATCCAAGTCGGCCAGGGGGGACTTCTTCTTGATCGCCTTGAACGCGTCCTCACACATATCACCGGCGTCCTTGGCGAGCAAGATGACCTTGGACGCGCCGGCATAGTCCAAAAAGTCGAGGGCAAGGCGCGCTTGGAGCTCAAGGTCGTTGCCGGCTTCGAGATAGGCTTGCTTGCAAACGGCCAGCGCTTCCTCCTCCGGCGTGCCCTCTTTGCCCTCGAACAGCAAGTCGACGATTACCCTAGTGTTGTTGTAGACAGTGTCGATGGCGATCAGCAGCGCGTTGCTGGCGAGGCCGTACAGGTTCATGGCGCCGTCGGTCCTTCGGTCGGCGCGCAGCATGGCCACGCAGATCGCGGGGGTCTTGGTCTTCTTGCACGTCCTGGAGATGAGGCCGGCGCCGGCGTCAGCGACGGGAAGGACGTCAGAGGACACGGCTGCGAGCACGACGAGAGCCATTGCTACAGTTGTTGCCGTGCTCGCCATTGCTGTTTGTGCTTTGCACTTAGCTAGGCGTTGCTGTTGTGTTGGTACAGTATACATGGCGACGCTTTCTTCTCTATATAAGACGCCACGCAGGACAGGATGCCTTAATTGTGCTACATTTATTCTTTTTCTATACTGTGTAATTTATATCTATATCTATATCTATATCTATATCTCTAATAATAAAGGAGATATTGCTTCTCGCGGTACGTCATGAAAATTGCCTCTAAAGTTGCAAAATATTACCCAGCAATACCACCCGTAAGTAGAAAAATGATTCTTTTTTTAGAGTCACCGACCGTTGCGTATCATTCATATAAGAAAGAAGTATAGTTTTTACCCCCAAATCCATCTCAATGTATCCATAACCCCCCAAAGTCAATTCTGGTATGATTTTAACCCTGAAAATGTCAAAACCGTTTTAATCAAACCCTGACTGGTTTAGTGTCACATCAGAAGCGGTTTTGCAAGGTGGTTTTCGTTTACTTGTTGATTACTTGGCGCTGGCGTGTCACTGCATACACTGCTCTTGCTGTAACTAGCAGCCACGGACAAAAATTCCCCAAGTTCTCTGCCATCTCGTTCGAACCCTAAATCCCAATCACGGTCGTGCTCTTGAATCGGCTCCACTCCATGACCTCATCCGCAAGCTTCTCAGCGAGCTCCTCTGCCGGCCGCACGTCATATTCCGCTGATACGGCGGCGGCGGCGCAATCGCCGGTGCCATATCGGCAGGGTCCGCTGCATTACGAGCCCCAAAACTTGCGCGGCTGCAGAGTGGAAGCCCCCCGATGGATTTCCTGGAGTGTGAAGAACCCAGCGCGCATGTGCTACAATTGCGGAAATCGAAGGTGTGTTCTTGCTGATTTTGCTGGGAGGTCTTTCCATTGTTTGCTGAGTTCAATGCAATGTCAGGGTGTGGACTGCAGGTTCTTTGAGTGGCATGACGATCCAAATACTCCATTTCTGAATTCGCTGGTCGGTGACTTGCATGATATTGTGTATCATCTGAAAACAGAGAAGAAACAGTTGGCAGAATCTTGAGTCTAAGTTGAAGCTCTCATGGACAAGGCTGTAGATGTGGAGATGGGCATGAGGTCTTTTGTGCATGAGATGCAGTTCAAGAACGCAGCAGAAGTAGAAGAAGAAATGCATAGGAAATTGGAAAGATTTAGAAAGATGTGGTAGCATCTTGTAATCTGTTTGGTGGTTGCTTTCTTCTTTTTTTGTTATGAAATGAATTGGTACTGTAATGTGGCATGATCTTATGAAAGATTTAGAGAGATGTGGCAGTATGTTGAGAAAGATGTGCCGGTATGTTCAGACATGTTTGTATGTTGTTCAGAAAATTGAATAATTTAGAAATGTTTGTGGAGTTCAAAATTTTGTATGTTACTTCTTGTTTGTAAGCAACTTCATTTTGTCCAGTACTGGGTGTTTGTAAGCAATTTCATTTTGTTCAGTACTGGCTTACAAAGTAGAATTTTTTTGCTATGTGACTGTAGACCAACTGAAGGAGAATATGCTATCTTCAGTACTGGCTTACACAGTACAATCTTTTGCAATCTGACTATAGATGATCTGAAAGAAAATTTAATAGTATCTATTTAAGTGATAGTACAAAGAAGTGACAGTGCATGTTCAGTACTAGCTTTCTTTCTTATATATGTACAGCAAGCAACACATCTTGTGCATTTTGAGTGACAGTAAATAACAACGGATTGATAGATGATCTTGTGCATTTTCAGTGACAGTAAATAACAACGGATAGGTAGATGTTCGAAAAGATCATAGATCATGTACTTCACAATACACCATAATTCAGAGTAGATAAATAGTTCCAAAAAGATCATACATGTTCCTATCTTGTTGAAATAAACATCTGGACATTGGCTCTTCACGTAAACTAATTTAGAGTACATGAGCACAATTCAGAGTACCTGACAGCAACAGAAAAAAAGCAGGAAATTTCAAATGGATGGTCCTTTCTTGCTCTTTAAGGCCTTCTTGTATGCTGCCAAGTTGAACACACAATGCTTGGGAACATTAGGTTGTGAGCTGCCGCTTGTTCCCCCCTGTGTGGATTTCCTCTGGCTGATTGCTGGCTGTGAACCACCAACATTTGTGGATTTCCTATGCATGCTTGAGTGTTTCGCCCTACCTGCTTGGCTTGCTCCAGCTTTTGACTTGCCCTGCTATGTGAAGATTGTGAAATATAAGATATTATGTTATAGAAATCAGGAACTCATGGTAAAACAATAAGAAAATAGTTACAAAAAATATACCATTGATTTCTTAACATTTTTCCCTGCCTGCTTGGCTGGGACATCAGGAACTCCTGCTTGTGACTTGCCCTGCCTGCTTGGCTGAGAACTTGTTAAATTTTCATGAATTTGAACATGTGGTTGAGAACTTGACTGTGCAACCCCCTTTTCCTTCTTTGCATTTGCAGCCTCAACTGCTGCCTACAAAACGAATAAGGCGAATCCTAACCAGTTGAGCGCGCAACGTGAATCAGTGTCGTTGCTGGTCCATGGGGATGCGAGCCATTGCATGTGCATGGGCTTTTCTCTCTCTCTTCCTACGCAAGTTCTGACACATGCATGGCCTATATTATCTTTCCTCTCTCCTCTTACTCCATCACTTTTCATTTTCTTTTGACAATTTAGATGGTACGTATCTTTAAAACCGAAAATTTGTTTTCGAATATTTTTACATATTTGAACTCATGACGCTAAACTCTTTAGAACAAGTATAGTCTTGGATACATTTGAAACATATTTTTTTGAAACTTTGCTTTAAACAGTGAAGAACTTTTAATTTTTATTGTAAAGTGCTAAATAAACAGAATAAGGGGCTGAAGAACTTTCTAAATAGTGGGTCGGCACTTTGTTAGAAATATGAAAGAACTTTGCTGGAAAATGTATCTTGAACCAAAGAACTTATAGATAGATTGGCCTAACTTTAATGAAAAGTTTATGGAACTTTTTTGCAATATATTGATATTGGACTTGTTTTGTAGAGCTGAGCGTGAGAAATTCAAATACATTAACGAATTTAAATTTGCACAATTTATTTCAAATTAATAGTGACATATTTGTTTATCTTGCAATTTTGTTTAAAGAGGCGACATGCACATGGAGTAGGAGTAGCCGCAGCATGCATGTGGGCCAAGGGGATGCAGTGCATGGCTGACAACGTGATGGAGAAGGTTGATTGGACAGGACCTTAGATGGAGGGCCAGGATACAAGTTGCGGGGGCAACTAGTTAGGAAAAATCCACTTCCCCTACAAAATGTTTAAAAAGTCACTTTGCCTCAATTTAATTGTGAACAATAATAGTCAGTCACTTTACTCTAGTATTAAATCGTACATTTGCTTTCTTCGCATTTTCTGCCTCCATTGCATCTTTGTCTTGTTTTCTTTTCCTTGCAGCATCTCTTACAATATGTGAATTGCCCTGGTGCTTGCCTGCTCCATTGTTTGTGCAAGATTTCATGTTGTGACCTGTCCTATGGCATGAACTGCATGTTATTGTCCCTCCTATCTTCCTCATCTTATTCCCCTTTGGTGCTTCTCCCTCCTCTCTTCGTCTCTCTGTCTTTGCCCTGCCTGGCAAGCTAATGTACCCTGGAGGTGCAGGCTTTACTCGATCTGATCTTGGCCAACTTTCTTCCCCCTCCAAGGGTTCCAAACAATGGGAATATATTTTGTTGTACACTTCAATAGAGTAGCACTTGGCAATGTAATCATCTATTTTCCTGCCAGTTTTGTAGATAGCACTTATTGCGTGACAACATGGCATGCCAGAAAGTTGCCAGTATCTGCATGAGCATGTCCATGCATCCAAGTTCACAGTGAATTTGAACTTCTCATGTTCAAGTACCTCAAACCCCTCTTTGCCATTCCAGAGGACATCACAATTTCCTGATCTCTTGATGTTCTGTTTCAGTTTTTTGAATACATTAGGACAAATGGCCCCTTCCAATTTCTCAGCTTTAGTTCTATTTTCTTGTATCCTCACCATGTTCTTCTGTCTGATCCACTCTAGCATAGAGATGCATGGGAGATACCTTGCTTCCAAGATCCAATTATTAAAGGACTTTTTTTCGCCAATACGCAAAGCTTGCGTATCATTCATTGATAGGTAGGAGAGAACAAACAGAGGCATACATGAGAAAATAAGAAAAAGCACCACACGAGGTGTGGGAAAAACAAAGAGAGATACACACAGCACAAAGCTCTCCTAGCTCGACCCCAGCCAAAAGGCAAAGAGACGAGATACAAGGCATCTAGACCGCGTCGCGACCGACGCCGAGCACCATCATCGCACAACCACAACTCCAGGCCGGACCGAATCAACGTACCTCCCACCTATGCGCCTAGAGGATCGGCAAGTGGGGTGCAGGACCAGGCCGGACTAGGAGGAGAAGTCATGGAGAGAGCGCCATCGAGGCCGTACATTGCACCCCGGATGCCCACGCCACAAGGAGCAACCCAAACCAGCAAAGCGTCCACAATCTTCGAATCCAACACCGAGCGTAACACCAGCAGCAAGACGACGCCTTCATGAAGGGTACAGCGACGAGCCGCCGCCGCCGTCCGATCTAGGGAACTAGATCTAGGGTTTCCCCTGATACTCGAGTAGGGGCATGGAGATAAGTGTTGGGGAACGCAGTAATTTCAAAAAAATTCCTACGCACACGCAAGATCATGGTGATGCATAGCAACGAGAGGGGAGAGTGTTGTCTACGTACCCACGCAGACCGACTGCGGAAGCGTTGACGCAACGTAGAGGAAGTAGTCGTACGTCTTCCCGATCCGACCGATCCAAGCACCGTTACTCCGGCACCTCTGAGTTCTTAGCACACGTACAGCTCGATGACGATCCCCGGGCTCCGATCCAGCAAAGCGTCGGGGAGGAGTTCCGTCAGCACGACGGCGTGGTGACAATCTTGATGTTGTACCGTCGCAGGGCTTCGCCTAAGCACCGCTACAATATGATCGAGGTGGAATATGGTGGCAGGGGGCACCGCACACGGCTAAGGAACGATCTC